TAATTAATATCATGTTTATGTTGTTATCTTTCTTTGATAAAAGTGAATTTTAATAAAAAAAATATATCAAAAAAATTAAGGTAAAAACTCTTAAAAAAAAAAAAAACCCTACAAGAGAGGGAAAAACTCCTATAAGAGAGAAAAAAAACTTCCATCTTTAGTTATCTATCCTAACCACCAAGAAAGAGAGAAGTAATGTTTAGGGAAAAGAAGAAAACAAGAGACAAAAGGAAAAAAATCAAGGCGAGGGGGGAAGCAGACAGTTGCGCTGAAGCCTATTAACTACAGCCACAAAATAGAGAAAAGATTCTATTAGATGGCCTACTACTTTATTGTGAACATAAATTTAATTAAATTATTTATTTTTGAACAATTTGTAATTATTTACGGATTAATTGAGGATGGGAGAAAAAAATTTCGTAAAATTCGAACATATAATCCACAAAAATCCTTAGCTTAGGGTCTGATGTCACTGAGACGATGAAGCAGGTCATTCATTAAATTAATATCTATTAATTTAAAATTAAAATTAAAACTTTAAAAAACCTACTAACTCATTCCTTTTCTTCCCCAGTTGCCGTCGACAGAGAGCACGCGCGTGCCATTAAGAGTAGAGAAGTCATCCACGTTTGAATTTTTAAATAAAATTTCCACGCCTTAATGTTTCCACCTTCATTTCATCAATGAAGTCACAAACTTGGGGGAAATTGTTAACTTTTCTTCTGTTTTTTTGTCTTTTTAATGGGAACAGAAGTTGTTGAGTTGACCCCACCCTAGCTACACCGTCAATTTTATTTTATTTTCTTTGAAAATGTCAATTTTATTATTGGGGTTTCACACTTAGTGGTGCCTTCCAACCTTGGAAATTGGAAGAGAGTCAAAAAAATTTTGTTTCTTCAAGATACACTTAGACCGTGGATTGTATTTGCTCCCACCTTTGCATTGTACGTTGTGATGCTACAATTCCAAATGTCAATTTCTGACATTTACATATCTAATTGAAGATAAATATCTTGAACTGGATTGGTTAGGCAACGTATAAGTGCATTTTTTTATTAAGTACATTCTTTTATTTTTAGGGTAATGGTTTGAATTTGACCCCATACGAATTTGTTAAAAAAAAAATTTGAAGATAAATTTCCGAACCTGACCTTATGCCAAGTGGTTTTTGTCACTTTAAAAATTCTTCTCATTTTTTGAGTAACGGTTTAATTCAATTTTATGATAATTGTTTAAAAAAATTAAAAATAAATTTTCACACTTAAAATTTAATGACATTAATTATTAAATATGTGCATTCTCTCATCCCTTAATGAGTTTCAAACCCAACTCATATTAAAATGTTCAAAAAAAAATTGAAGATAAATTTCCAAATCAAATACTAGAAGGAATTATG